TCTAAGAAGCATTCAAATTTTTAAAAAATGTAAAACCCTATACCAGCTAACTGTTTTGAAGGTGAAAGTCAAAGGTTAGACAATATCCTTTATAAGCAATACTCCAAAAATGAACAGTTTTATAATGAGAGTCTAGTGAATTAAGTACTTACATAATTATATGAATTGCTATAGGAGGGTTTTTAATAAAATCTTCATATGTATATGACTAAAGTGAATGAGACAATGCATAAAAGACTTGTTTTGGTCCTTTAAACAGGTTGGTAATAAAGTCATTTCTTTAAGGTCTTTTAAGAATATTAATTCTGGGGCCTCCCTGGTGGCCTAGGGGTTAGTTCTCAGCACTAAGGCCTGAATTCGATCCTTCTCCAGGGAGCTAACCCACACATGACACAGCAAACCTCTCTTCTTTCCCCTGTTGCTTGTTCCCCTTAGCCATGTACTTCAGTCAGTCTATCTGATTCTTGTCTCTGGTGTATTCTCTCAATACCTGCACTTCTGGCCTATACCCATAGTTCTTATATGCAAAGAATAATGTAATTATAATGAAGTGTCTGATGGTCAAAAAAGAGAGAGATTAAATGTTATAGTATTTTTGATTAAAAAAATAGAAAAACAAATGTTAAGGAAAAAAATTGGGGGAGTCTCCTGGTGACATAAGGGTGAAAGTATCAGCACTATCAAGCTATATCACCAGCCACTGCAGTACTGGTTCGATGGAGCTAGAGCGCTAACCCACATGGCACAGCAGACCTCTCCTATCTTGCCTGCTGCTCCCCTCAGCAGTGTATTTCATTTCTTCTGCCTGTTTTGCTCCCTTCTCTTGTCTCTGGTGAACCCTTTCACCTTTCCCCCTACCCACACACACATACCTCTGGCCTACAACCCAGCCTTTGTATAAATCTTTTTTTTTTTTTATTTTGGAAAAACTGAACCTTATATTCTTATATTTTCTCCATGTAGTCATTCTCATTTTGAGCACAATAAGCTGTAAATACTGTGCTAGTTTCTATATACTTTTAGTGGAATCATAGATCTTTCAAGTGAAGGCTCTTAGTTAAAAGGTGTATATTAAATCTGTTTGTATCAAACCCCATTCATATTTTCTAGATGTTATCATTCTTCTTCATGCTTTATAGTACCACTTGCTTCATTGACAATTAGACCAGCAAGGAAAATTCCTTGAGAAAAATATGTTAAGGATAAATTATGGACAGAAATAAAGGAGATTTGTTAGAAGGGAAGTGTGTGTCTTTTTTCACTTACATGTTTTAATGGACCTACATTGAAAATATAAAGCTCTTTGTCAGAGTATCTGCAAAACTCCTAGGGTGCAGTTTGGTTTGGGAATGTTACTTTTTAAAACCTCTATAATAGAAAACAGATAATGTTCCAGTTTTCCAGTTATGAGTTTTCAATGCCTGCCAAATATTGGTTGGGATATAAAGTGTCTTGGGTTAACAGATATTCTAATGTTTTAATAATAAAGAATTTATAAAGCTCTGGCATTCTCTAAAGCATAGTTAACATTAAAATTAAACTGTACATAATAGTCCTAATGGTTCAGAATTTATTATGAGGATTATCACAGAAAATAGAGCATAGTTAATAGAAAATTTTCAGGTAATGAAACACCTAAATAAGGGCATTGACTTTATTTCATTTTTAAGGAATAGTCCAGTTTTTTTAATAACTGCCCCCAAAATGATATACTTTATTGTTTAAAAGCTTTGGAATAAACATCTCAAAACATGCTTAACTTCTGTGATATCTTTTCTTCTATGCTTTTATATGGAATTTGGGGGAAAAGTCAAAAAGATGTTAATTTAAAAGATTACAATATGATTCTCTTTTTCTAGTTTCTCAACTCATTGGATGCTAAAGAAATATATTTGGAAATAATGCATAATCTTCCAGATTTTGAACTGCTTTCAGCAAGCACTCTAGAGGTAACATATTTATAAAGAGCAATAAATGTTGATAAGAGTCCAAGTTTTAGTATTTTAAAATTAGTATGTTTATCACTAGAGAGAAAGTACAAGTTTCACAAGAATTGTATCAGTCTGTTTAGACTATAAATTCTAATAGAGTTGTTGAAATATCAGGGTGGATCTCTACTTTTGGAAAACTAGCTAGTCCGATATCAGTAAGTTTCAGGAGAGAAAGGCAAGATTTTTAGCCACAAGCCAACTTTGGATCAAATTTGGAAATTTATGTTCTTGCTTTTAAAAATAGTTTACTTTTTTTCTACTTGTTGATCCCCAAGCCTTCTGTCTCTATTTTTACCCAACTTTGTGTTAAACCTGGCAAAGCTTTTTTACCTATAGTCTATTTTTAAAAAAGATATTTTACTGCTGTTATTAAAAACTTATTTTTCTTGAAACAGTCTTCTAAGACTTTGTAAGTTAAGCTCTTATTTAATTTATGGAAATCGTTTCTGTAATGTTGAATAGATTTACATAAAGTTATTTCAAATAAACATCAAAATGAGTTTTAGGTAATATTGTGATATAATAAATAGGGTCACTAAAAGTAACTCTTAAGTCAAAGAAATACAGATTAGAACCTTTAGAATTGCCATCTCTAACATTTCTGTTTTATTATCTCTTTTTAAAAATCACTTTTAAGGATCGTTTGGCTCATCATCGATGGCTCCTATTTTTTCATTTTGGAAAAAATGAAAATTCAGATAATCCTGAATTGAAAAAGCTAAAAACTCTACTTAAAAATGAACATATTCAAGTAAGGAAATTATAATCTACTTACCTTCAAGTATTGTGCTTTCTAAATGTATATTTCAGAAACATCTTGAAACTAGGTTAAGAATTACTATTGTTTTTCTGTTTACCTGAAACCTTATTGAAAACTTATATTTTTGTTTTTATTGAAGGAGATTTTGCCTTATGTTTTAGCTGTGCGTTTATAAAGCAGTATCTTTATATACTAAATAATTTGCCAATGTAAGTCCAATTCTCTACCATACTGTTAAATCTTTTTACCTGATCATTTCGCCCCTTCCCACTAATTTCATCTTAATATCTGATAAAAATTTGTGTCATTCATTTGTTTTTATACCATGTAAGTGAAATCATGTAGTATTTGCCTTTTTCTAATTAGTATCATTAAGCATAATATCTCAGGCATAACCCTCTGAGATCATGTGGTGATGTTGGAAATAGTAGCATTTTGCCCTTTTTTTTTTTCTTTAATAGCTGAGTAGTGTTCCATTTTATATAAATACCACATCTTTATCCAGTAATCTGTGAATGGGCATATAGATTATTTCCAAATCTTGGCTACAGTATGGAATGCTATAATGAGCATGAGGGGTATACCTATTTCTTTGAATTGCAGTGTTTTGTTTCATCTTTTAATTCCTTCATTAAATACAAGGAAGTATAAGGGTCATATTGAATTTCTTTGTTTAATTTTCTAAGGGCTCTTCCTATGTCTTTCATAATGGCTACACCAATTTACATTCCCACTAGCGATATATGAGAATACCCTTCTTTCCATGACCTCTCCAACACTAATTTCATGTCTTAAGGAGAGTAGTCATTCTCATAGGTCTGGGGAAAATACCTTGCTTTGATTTGAATTTCCCTGATAAGAACATCTTTCCATGTTCCTGGTAGCCATCTGGGTGTCATCTTTGGGACAGTATCTGTACAGATCTTCTGCCCATTTAATCAGGTTATTTTTTTTTATGAGTTTATCTATTTTGAATAGAAACCCTTATTGGATATGTCATATACCAGTATCTTATACTCTGAGATCATGCATTGTTGCAAATGGCAGGATTTTGCCCTTTTTTTCCCTTTAATAGCTTAGTGTTCCATTTTGTAATATTTTTTTATTTTGATGATTATTCATATCAGTGTACAACAGCTTTTCAGTTCAGTGTAATTTATTTTTGCTTTCTTGCAGTTCGCATCAAATCTCACTTCCCTAAGACTAGTAGCTTTCTTGCTCCATTGTATGCTTTTGACTTCTTTGTAATAAATTAGTTGTCCATATATGTGTATTTCTATCTATATGTATGCTTTTTAATAAAATGGATTCACGGTATTCCCCACCTCCATTCGACCCCACAGATGAAGAAGAACTTCAGCTACACTTTAATGTACAAGAAAAGTAAAGTTACTGTTGAAATTCTCACTAAAATTTTTTACCCTGTCTTTGGAGTCAGAGAAAATGTAATTTAAATCCCTATTAACAAATATAAGCTCTTTAAATGTATTCAACTACTTGAATTGTACAGTCAGCTTTCTCTTAAATAGATCTGTGTTATCAGAAAGATAATTTTATGTGAAAGAATCTAGCATAGAATTTGATACATGGTAGAGACTAATGTATATTATTTAGTCTGTTTAAAAAAGGACTCATTGTAATTTTTGTAAATTTTTCCACTTAACAGTATCATAAATTTTCACCTGCCAGTATACACACACACCCACATCACTACCCCAAAGTCTAAGCAGTAATTTGCTATGTTTACACAATAATAATTTAATAAATCTTCTGACTTAAGCTTTTCACATTTTATATCAAAAAATACTCCCAAACATGCAGTAAAGGGAATTTTTTTGATCCAGTTATATTCTTTTAAAGTTTTTTTTCTTTTTTGTCTTCATTTGTCTTTTTTTTTTCCTTTTTTGTCTTCATCTTCCATAAAGTTTGTGTCAGTTTATATTCTTGCTGACAGCATCTAAGTGACCATTTCTCCACACCTCTGCCAACCATGGTGGTATTAGTCTTTACAAATTCAATGGCCATTTTGATATGCCAAAAGTGATTTGTTAGTAATATATCACTTGTTTTCATGGGATTGAAAAGCATTTTCAAGATTACTAACAAATCAGTGGTTTTCTATTTTCTGTGTGTGTGTCTGGCTCATTTTCTTTCTCCTGGTAGGGTTTTCTTTTTTTTTCCTACTGGATCCTGTGTCTTAGATCAAGGGAAAAAATGGGTAGAATTTATCTTTTACTTGTTGGTCATCTTTATGCTATTTTTTCCCCCTACGCTATGAAATTGCCAGCCTTTTCTACTTCTGGGGTCTGTCTTTAAGATTCACTCTGTTCTTCTCTCCAAGTTTATATAAATGTCCACAACATTTTTAGAAGGGCAGATGCCTTAACTCCCTTTTAGAAATTTCTTCACTGTTTTAAGTAAATTGAGTGCCATTGTTAGGTGTGAATTATTTCTCTTTTCATGACCTATTAACTTGTGTAAAAACTGTACTGTTAGAGCAAAGTCGTTTTTAGCTTATCTTCATGAATATTTAAAAGCTGAGAGAATACATTGTGTTTTCTTCAAATTGAATCTTTTTTCTACTTTAGATTGGCAAATTTGACTGTTCCTCTGCACCGGAAATCTGTAGTAATCTCTACATTTTTCAGCCATGTCTAGCAGTATTTAAAGGTCAAGGGACCAGAGAATATGAAATTCATCATGGTAAGTGGGGGAATGACAGAAATTATCTTTGTAGTAATGTTTTTCATTGTACTTCTTACCATGTTTTAAGATGCTCAATACATCTACTTTCATTTAGTAGTATATTTGTTTCAGGGAAATAGGTTTTTAATTGTACATATTTTATTCCGACTCTTCTTTTTAAAACTAATAGTTCTCTTTCCTGCTAGTCAATATTTTGAACAGTGTTTCAGTAAAAACTCCATTATGTCAGGATAGTGAAAAGTTTAAGGGTATTATTTATTGGCAAGTGGTAAGCAAACCATTCCAGTGAGCTGAGTATGGCATCTCAGTGATAACAGATGAATGATATTCATGCAATCTTTTGGATTTTTCCCCCCTTAGATTACCAGCTTTAATTAAATTTTTGTATTTCTATTCTGTATATTTATTTAGTTCTACATTCATGAAGTACTCATTGGTCCTATCCTAAAAGAAGTCAAATGTAGCAAAAGAAACACCCTGTTAAGTGAATGACAGAAATGGATGAAATGCCTGTTATGGGCAAATATGTTTTAGGTTAGGTGTTAGAATACAAAGTTGTAAGACATGGACTCAGTCTCAAGAAGTTTAAAATATCTAGCAGGAAAAAGAAGCTTTATAAGAAAATAAACTATGAATTAGATAAACATCTGCATACTATATCTAATGAGGTGGTATTTGAATAGAGTTGACATTTGAATGCTCAGTTTCCCGAACTAACTATAGGAAAGAATTGAGGTTCTCTAGACTAAAAGAACACATGAGCTGACTTGACAAGAGAACTTACACAGAAAGTGCTATGTAAATAGTAACTCCTCTTATTAAAGTCAGACATTTTCGAAAGCCTTTGCATGCTTCCACATTGAAATTTTTATTTATACAATGCAACTAGGGAGAAAATGAGATTTGAGAGTAACATGTCGCACAATAAAGTAGTAACTGGTTAGGGAAGATTATGTACCCAAATATGTCTGACTCTAAAGCCACACGCACAGCCAGATTAAACTACACCATTTTAAAAGTGCCAGGACATCCACATTTTTAAAATAATGGAGGTCTGCTTTTTAATTCAGACTTCACTTCCTTTATTCCCCTCTCTTGTGCTTCCTGATTTACTTAGTTCCATCTCTGCCTCCTGTAATATAATATAGGGTTGCCCACCTCCTAGCCTTTCCTCTCAAAAGGCTAGCAATTAAACAAAGCAGTTGATTATTGTGTTTGCAAAGTTGGGTCTTCAGAACATTTTTTGATTGTGGTTTTTGTTTTTCATTTTGGTGAGTTGTATGACCTCTTTGTAGATATTTATTATCAGCCTCTTGTCAGACATGTGGTATGAAAATATTCTCTTCTATGCAGGAGGTTGTTTCTTCATTTTAGTTATTTCTTTCACTGTGCAGAAACTGTTTCATTTGATACAGCCCCACTTGTTTATAATCTCTTTATTTTCTCCATGGGATCACTTAAAATTATGGTCAGTCGAGCAGTTTGTAAAGAATTGAAGCAGCAGCTAAATAAGAAAAAAAGCAAACGAATGTAGTATCATGCATCATTGTCATTGTTTTGAAATTGTCTCTACCACTAGGTTATGAACTAGTGGTATTATGACTGTATTTTTGCATGCCCTGCAGCACTTAAAACAAGTTCCAGCACATTAAATGTGTTTAATATCAACTACTAAAGGAATAAGTTAGGAGGCACCAGGGAAAATGTACTGTGCACTGACTGAGAAAGCTATCTGCCAAGCTTAGATTCTTTAGACAAGGGAAAATCCTGAGAATCTTTTAAGCTAGAGAGCATTATGATGATATTTACATGTTTGTAAGTTGACTGTACTAGCAATATAGTTACAGAGCCAAAAGACCGCATTGGTTATTGTAGTGGACCAGACTGAACTGAAGCAGTAACTTAGATTGGAATAGGAGATGGTAAGAGCTAGAATGGATAAAGTATGACACAAAAGCAAAAATCACTCTGGGAAACCTACTGGATTATGCCATTGGCCAGTAGGGAAAATTAACTTGATTTTGATAAATTTGAAATTCTAATGATATTTCCACTGGGCAGTTGGTAATGAGTTTTTTCATTCATAACATCTATTGAAGAAGAAGATAGGGGAATTAGGTAAGCATTTAGGCATTAGGCCATTTCAGGTAAGCATAAATTCCACTACTAAAGATAATTCTGCCTCTGAGAATGAAGGAACATTTTACATAGGGCTTTAAGTTTTAATTGTTCCTACAACAGTAGTATACAGAACACTAAAATCAGTTCATAAGTTTATCTTCATTCTTTAATACTTTAAGTATAAAAAATGACAAAAACTTTGAAATGTTTCTGTGAATAGAAAGGTAGAATGTGGATTTTAAATTTTCTTTCAATTTCAAAGGAAAGAAGATTCTATATGATATACTTGCTTTTGCCAAAGAAAGTGTTAATTCTCATGTTACCACATTGGGACCTCAGAATTTTCCTGCCAGTGACAAAGAACCGTGGCTTGTTGATTTTTTTGCCCCTGTAAGTTCATTTTTTTCTGTCATATTTCACTATTTCAAGATATTTCTCTTGTAAGAGCAAAAAGACATTGTCTAGATAACCTTGAACTTTGTGTGCAAGATTTGCATTAGTTTTGGCCACTCTCTCATTAGGTCAGCACTAGGAAGGTGCTGATCTCTTGTACCTCTAAAGATCAAGTATATACATGCTCCAGACTTGTAACTCAGTTTAGTTTATTTTACTTAGCGTATTGTTTATTGCAGAATGCTTTTTGCTTTTGTTTCATTTGCTTCAGTAGTTGTAAGTATTTTTTCTTTCCTAGTGGTGTCCACCATGTCGAGCTTTATTGCCAGAGCTACGAAAAGCATCAAAACATCTTTATGGTCAACTTAAATTTGGCACACTAGATTGTACAGTTCATGAGGGACTCTGTAATATGGTATGACTTTTTTTGTAGTTTGTTTTTGTAATCTTTGACAGCTTAATAACAGTACCTTTCAAATGTACTTATATATTTATAGGCGCAAAAGAAACAAATGATTTAATCACAATAATATAGTAAAACAGTAATATTTAAGTGTGGTTGAATTTTAAATGTTTTATATACCAAAATCAGGAAAATATTTAATTTGATAAAATACATGATTTTCCATTATTTACATTTCTTAACTTAGCGTTACCTTTTGACAATCTGCTATTTTTTTGTTTTCCTCATATACTTGTCTTCTAGTATGTCTTCTAGTGTTCCTAATTAAATAGGAGAAAATTAAAACAATGAAAGAAGCTTTTTGAAATCTTTTTTTACATAAAAATATTTTCTTAGGTTAATATTCTTTCTTCAGGTCCAGGAAGATCTAGAATTTATACTTCACTTTGAAAATATCTATAGTACCACCTATAAAAATTTTCTTGGGGGAAAAGTTATCAGACCTGAATCAAGCACCTCTGTGTACAGGAAATGACAGAGGAAAATGTTAAATGACACCGTGGCACACAGTCTGCAAATCTCAGCATGTAGAGGACTTTACAGGACAACACTAAGTTTATTGGACAAACACATTGGAGGTGGGGAGGATTAAAGAGATTTAAAAGATGTATCATTTAAATGCAAGTATAAATCTTATTTCCTTTGCTAAATTTCACCAGGCTAAAATTTTTCAGTCATCACCAATTTAATAGGTTTTTAAATCCTGTTATTTAAAGTAAAGGTAAAGTAGTTATAGAAGTTGAAGTAGGTGAAATACATAAAACTTTTGTTTAATTTGTATTCTTGTTTAATTTGTATTCTTATTCTTAATAGTATAATATTCAGGCTTATCCAACAACAGTTGTATTCAACCAGTCCAACATTCATGAATATGAAGGACATCATTCTGCTGAACAAATCTTGGAGTTCATAGAGGTATTTCCATGACTATAAATCTTTCCATGTACATTCTATATGAGCATTCATCATTATGTTTAATAACAACTCTTTCCATGTCAGAACATTTTCTAACAATGAATTTTAGTTTTTCTATTTCTTTATGTACTTTAAACTTTAAGAATAAGTATGCTTTTCACAGTACAGTGCCTTGAATATATGAAGTTACACTTTCACTTAGAGCCTTGTCACCCTCTTTCTGTTTTCTGATAGAACCACCACAGATTATTTCTTTAGGAATTGTAGATTAGGACAGTCTTGTTCCTTCTACCCCATAAAGGGTCCTTAGGTCTAGACCTCTATATGTGTTATTAACATATACTGTACATGCTATGTGTTATTAACATATACTGTACATCTGCAGTATCACCTTTTTTTCTCGCTAATAGTCTTGATAGTCTTGAAATAGTTATAAAAGCTTCCTAAGAAATGGAAAATTCTAGCTTATTATCCATTAATAACCATTCTACCCTGTCCTCTATTCACCTCTGCTTCCCAAAAATTTTTTTGTTTTTATCCCAGTGAAGCTAAACCTTAATATAAGCTTTCTGCTCATGGTAGATTGCACAGCATCTGGAGCAAGTGAATTGTGTAGTTTCTTCAGTCAGAATGTCAGAAAAACAGATTTTCCATTAGTAATTAAAGGTTTTAGCCAAGTCTTATAACACTTGCCTCATCTATCATAACCTTAAACACAGTTGCCTCTTTTCCCTTCCAAAGATGATTTTAGTGATGCATAGGAATACACCTTGATTTGTAAAGACTAATGAGTAAAATAATATAGGTTCTAAGTACCTTTTGATTATTCAAAAATAAGAACTTTTCTAAATGATGCATACCAACAATTTGCCAAAAATATAATGGAAGTTATATTCTCTTCAGGATCTCATGAACCCTTCAGTGATCTCCCTGACACCAACTACTTTCAATGAATTAGTTAAACAAAGAAAACATGATGAAGTCTGGATGGTGGATTTCTATTCTCCATGGTGTCATCCATGTCAAATTTTAATGCCAGAATGGAAAAGAATGGCCCGGGTATGTTAAAAAATATATATATTTTTTTAAGTTGTACTATTTTCTAGGAAGATTTAACAGATTTTGTTACTGATGTAAATGAGCCCACCCTAGATTGTCACTTGCATGAGCCCACCTAATACCACTTGCATGTGAGAATGTGAACAATATAGAATAATTACCCTTTTTTTGTGTCACTGGATAGCTTTTTACCGAATTTCTACCACTGAACCCAAAGATCCCACTTATTTCCTATTAAAATACTTTTATTGCTTCATTTTTAGAGCTTTAAAGGCAGCGCTTCAGAATATTGTGAAATGTAAGAAAAGTAACTAGTCAATAATTATTTTTAGGATAAAAAAAATGAACAACCTAAATTTCAAAATGGTTTCCAGTATCTTAAAATAATACATTTGTATGTTTGCAGTAAAGTTCTTAAATTTAGGTGAGTCAGTATGATAACTGCAAGCCATATCTCCATTTGGAAAAGTAACTGGTATATTACTATATGCTCTTGATTTCTAACATAATCTCCCCATGTATTAGATGATTGGATAGACTTCCTGTTCATTACTATAAGAGATGTACTGTTTTAAGCCCTTGTCCATTTTTATTTAGTGAAAATCACTGATTCTCATTTAATAGCCTAATAAGCACAGTGGCAGTTTCTGTTCTCTAACCCTACATTGAAGAGTTAGGGAGGTGAATTTACTATGGTCGTTTTGATCTGTTTAATCTCTTTTTTTATAGACATTAACTGGGCTGATCAATGTGGGCAGTATAGATTGCCAACAGTATCATTCTTTTTGTGCCCAAGAAAACGTTCAGAGATACCCTGAGATAAGACTTTTTCCCCAAAAGTCAAATAAAGCTTACCAGTATCAGTAAGTATGCCCTCGGATGTAAAGACATTTGTTACAACCATATATTCATTCAGTTTTTATCATGACTAGATAAAAGTTAACCCAACAAATATCTGGGAAGTCCACCATGTTCAAAATAGTATGCTAATGAGAATTTTAGAAGACAGAACTGAACAGTCCCACTATCATGAAACTGACAGTCTAGTAAAGAAGATAAGGTAAAAGTACCACTTATGAAGTCTTTTGTAACATCAGGTACTTTACTTTAGGTGAGTCAGTATGATAACTGCAAGCCAGGATTTTTACTAATTAATCCTGAAAAGTAAGAATTATCTCCCTCCCTGCTATTACAGATAAGTAAACAGATTCACAGACTATATGTAATTTTCCCAAGTCTATCTCAGTGCCCATGTGGTTCCACAGCACTCCATGGTAGTTTTGGTAGAAAATTCAAATACAAGGTAGAATGGTACATACAGTGAAAAAGTTAAAAATGAACCATGGGGGCCCTCCCTGGTGGCGCAGCGGGTTAAAGCACTGCACTGAGAAGCTTAAACCACTTCCACATGAGTTCAATTCCCGCCTACCCCAGAGGTGACCACATGGTGTGGCAGACCTCTCCTGACCCGCCCGCTGCTCCCCTCAGCAGTGTACTTCGTCGATCTGCCTGTTCTGCTCCCTGCTCTGTCTCTGGTGAATCCTCTCACCCTCCGTGTCTCTGGCCCATACCCCATTTCTGTATGAATAAATAAATCTTTAAAAAAAAAAAAATGAACCATGGATTCTATGAAAGGAAATCATGAAAGAATGCTAAAGCATGGAATATTTTTAATGTTGCTGTTCCATGGGTTTGCAGGAAATGTCCAGGCAAACTCACCTTTAGGTCTGTGCAAGGCACAAGAATACAGAAAAATTTATTTGGGAAGCCATGTAAGCAGTATTTGTAAATACATCTATCTGAAAAGAGATACTAAGTGAAGTCAATCAACTAAATTCATCTTTAAGTTGCTATAGTGAGATTATTAAACATACCAATAATAAGAAATAGTATTTACAACTTAACTATATTTTTTTCTTTCAGTAGTTACAGTGGCTGGAATAGGGATGCTTATTCCCTAAGAATCTGGGGTTTAGGGTAAGTTAAATATTTATTGTATAAAAAGTTAATGCTGTTTACCTTCCTCATGTCTCTAGTTAAATTTACTGGGAGTTATTTATTACATAATCTGTCATTCTTTGAAATAATTTTTAACTCAGTCTTGTACTACTACATTTTAGATGTTTGCTTTGGTTTTGTACAGTTAAAAATGTTTCCTTGCCATAGATTTTTACCTCAAGCATCCACAGATCTAACACCTCAGACTTTCAATGAAAAAGTTTTACAAGGGAAACATCATTGGGTGATTGACTTCTATGCTCCTTGGTGTGGACCTTGCCAAAATTTTGCTCCAGAATTTGAGCTCTTGGCTAGGGTAAGTCTTATCTATCTACTTAAATTAGATGTGATCACATGTATGTTGTAATAGTTACATAAAACATTTTAAATTTTCTGAAGTTTCCTCTCAGTTAAAAAAAGAAAATACTTTCTATGACTTTTCAGACTTAAGATTTCTAAGCTAATAACTTCTCTATCTTGGTTAATAATATCATTTATGTATCAGAATTCTGAGTCAGAAAGTTTAGTGTTCTCTCTTATCCCTTATTTCCTTCCCTCCCACACCACTACTGTGCTCAAATAATCATTATATCATCTATCCATCTCTTCTGTTAGCCTCTTTATTCAAGCCTTCAATATCTTTTTATCTCTAGGCTTATATTTAATTAGTCCCACAGTGTCTTCTTCAGTTCTACCGTGGACATCTTTGAAGATTGTGCCTTCTCTAGTTTCCCATTAACCAACTTTCATGACATGCGTTCCTGACTGCAGGTTTTTGACCTGACCATTTCTACCTTTTCTGGTTTATTTTTTCCCCACAGTAGATACTCCCAGCACAACAAAGACACTGGGATTTCTGAACAAATACCCCTATCTACATACTGCTGCTACCTGCTACCTCTCCCCAAAAAGTTTTAGTTTGATCATGATTTTTTTTCTCCTCATTCTACATAGTCTAATTATTCTTCTGCCCTATTCTACATAGTCTATTCTTCTGCCCTTCTCAGTTAATCATTGTTGCCTTGATGGTCCTGGAGTACAAGCTAATACTTATAATGTGTGTTACTTATTTAGAAATCTGTCTTTCTTGAGAATATGGGCTTCTTGACTGCAGGGAACATGATTTATAGATCTTTATGCCCCTAGAATAACTCAAAATATGCACTGAAACCAAATACATAAACTGAATACTATTTGAGTTTTGGGTGTTTGTAACTGGCCTATTAATGACCTAATCTGGATTGATGCTTTCCTCTCTTCTGGACTCAAGGGACTTTTTACCATTGTGTACAAAACACTCTTTAGAATGAGAAAGTCAGCACTAAGTGAAATTTGAACATTTGAACATTCCAAGTCCTGGGAGTTTTTTTTAGCAAAAGGATTTGCAAGCTTCTGTGAGCCCTAAAAGGTTATTAAAGGACTAGTCAAATAGTTATTTTGTCACCTCTTACTTTTTTCTCTAATAATTCTGACAAAATTGTATTCCCTTTACCTCATGTGCTGAGAAACTTACATATTGATAATGCAGCTTTATCAAGAAAGTAGCAAAAAACGATTAAATGTGTTAAAGATCAGTTAACAATTCTGACCACCAAGTGGAAAAGCATTATACTAAATACTAGAGCTACAAAAGTAAAATAAATGTTCCACATCTTTAGTAAGCCTTTACTCAAGTGGAAAGGTAAGTTGAAAATATGCTAGACATTGCTGTAGTCAGATTAGAATGGAACAAAAATATGCAATGAAGGTAAGTCATAACAGTCGATGTAAAAGGTAGGATTTGAGGTGAGAATTATAGTAAAACTAAGAGTTTAGCTCTTGAAATGGTTGGCTAGAGAGCACTCAAAGTAGAGAAGTCAGTATTTGCTAAGATGTAAGGATGTGGGTGCATGTTTAGGGATTTCCACTGTTGGTCTAGTATAAGGACTGAGGAGCAGTGGCAGAAACTGAGGCTCAACTGAAAAGATGAGGAGGGTTTGGTCCTTTTCCCCACACTATTGCAGACCCTTCAGTTATTTCATACTGCTTCAGAGATATTCTATGAGACATTAGAGAACAGGTATTAGATACGATTATATCCACTTTGTATTTTAGAAAGTTCGTGTAGGATCAACAGAACAACAAAGGCAAAGAAAGACATTGATAGCACCAAATATAATATGGTGCCCAAATAGAAGATAAAAGGAGATGTAAGATTGAGCAGGACTTAGTATTTCATTGGGAAAGAAGAGTCTTTAAGGGTGGCCCTAGTTGTTAACTCGAACTCCAAGTTCGAGTTAACAAGGGAGAGTGGGAAAAGGTTCCTCTTGGAAATTATGTATTCAGGGTGCTCATGTAACTAGAGCAGGCTAATACATAGCTGAAAACTAAATTTAGGAAGTGACTGAAGTTCCATAGCATACAGATATAAAAGATCTAGGAAAATAGTCACAGTGAAAATACTGACAGGTTGGAACTGTGGTTGAATACTATAATTTGAAGGGTAGATGTAGATGGTCCTTCTGCTGGAAATGAAGAAAAGCTAAAGGGCAGAAAAACCAAGCAAGTTTATAAAAGGGGGGGTTGATTAGCAATGTAAGTTTCACTGCAGGAAGCAATAAGAACAGAAGCTAGACTAAAATCTGTTGATAAATTGGCAAAGTGGTAAACTTGTAAAAAGAAAGACTATGGTAGCCGAACGACAGTTCAGTCAAGGAAGGAAACTTTTTTTTTTTTTATCATAGATATGAGACTGAAGAAAAAGGAAATGCTCACAGGAAAAAGTGGAAGAATGCTACTTCAACAGATGAGGCCAGAGAAAGGAGAAGGCTGAGGGCAAAATCAGGTGTTTGTGGTGAGAGTGGACAAGGTGTAGGCAGCAGGAAGAAGTTGTAATTTAGGGTCATCTGCTGGGTTTTCTTGATAAGGTAAAGGAGTTAATAGGAAGTAAGAGCCACTGAAAATTTGGAAGCATTAATTGAATGGAAAGAATAACTGAATTTTTTTAATGAGATGTAAAGATTTGAATTTTCTGGTTCATTTTGTGGCTGCCAGTTTATGCCAAGGAAAATCTAAACTCCACTTTTCTTTTTTCAGATGATGAAAGGAAAAGTGAAAGCTGGAAAAGTAGACTGTCAAGCTCATGCCCAAACATGCCAAAAAGCCGGCATTCGAGCCTACCCAACTGTTAGACTGTACCCCCACGAGGGCACAAAGGTAAGGGGCCCTCAGTTTTCCTTCTGTCAGCCAGTCGAGTCTAAAAGATTGTTCTTAACCTATGTGCTGTCTTTCTGAGTGCTGTTCTATCATTTCTATCATTGTATATATTGTTATATATACAAAGCAAGTTTATTTTTGCCTATATACAAAGTGATTTTAGAGACGTTCTCCCAATTGCTCTACCATGTTTATATTCATGAATAGGAAAATTACTAGCGGGACATCCAAAATATTAATGATTTCCTATGAGTGGTAAAATTCAAAGATAATTTCTTATGAAGTTCTGTATTTCCTGTTTTTATAAAATATTCTCCTTTATAAATCTTTCCAAGAAAGACAAAAAAAAACCCCACAATGCTTTTGAAAGCCTTAGTACCTGAGCATTTCTCTTAAGGAATATTTGTTGTTATGAAGTTAAGGTTCAATAAGAAAATAACCTGTGTATTCATTAATCCAAATTGTGTACCTCTCACCTAAATGTTAATAGTCTTCCAGCCAATCCAATCACTTAACTTGAAGTACTCGTGGCCTTTTCTGTCTTCCTAAGACATTTTCTGCAATAAAATGGTGATAAACAAGTATTTTCAGTATAATTAATATATCATGTTTATCACATTTTAAAATAGAACTGAAGAAATATTTCAGAAATCTGAAATTGTTAAGACATCTGATTTCTCAGTGAAGGATTCTGATTTTTTAAAGGTCACCTCTATTTTTAGAACATCTTGGGGTAAGCAGAACTTGAATCTTCATTTGCAATCATCAGCCCTACTTCCCAGCTCTCATGAAGCTGAGAAATAGGTGACATAAATAAGGCTCTCACTAAGACAGAAGAATGTTAGGAAAGTATCAGTATAATAAGCAGTCATAGGATTAACAAAGACACAGAGGGGCCCTCCCTGGTGGCACAGCGGGTTAAAGCACTGCACTAAGAAACTAAAGCCACTTCTGCATGAGTTCAATCCCCGCCTGCCCCGGAGGCGACCACATGGCAGGCAGACCTCTCCTGACCCGCCCGCTGCTCCCCTCAGCAGTGTACTTCGTTGATCTGCCTGTTCTGCTCCCCGCTCTGTCTCTGGTGAATCCTCTCACCCTCCGCATCTCTGGCCTGTACCCCAGTTCTGTACGAATAAATAAATAAATCTTTTTAAAAAAAAAAGACAGAGGAAGTTGTTTGAAAAGATGTAGTGTCCAGAGAACAAAATCAGGAAGTAAAATATCCCTACCCAATCAGAAGACAAGGTGACATCCAGAATTTACCAGACAAGAAGGCTAAAGCAGAATAGTGATTGGAATCAATACATACTAAAATAGGCAAAAACACAAAATCATACCACAGAATCATTATTCGCAGTAGGATGGAAACAAGTGTTTCCAGATTCAGACTTAGAGATAGTTGCTGCTTTCCATTATTGCAGTTTGGGATCAGATTTGGGAACATGTTGTCTTTTATGATTTATGTTTAAAGCATTTGGAGTTCACAATGCATTTTTCCCAAGGAATTACGCTACATGTCCCCATATATTTCAAGAAATTATGGGTTAACTGTGCCTCTGCAGTATTACTTCCTTGCAGTAAGAAGTATTTAGCTTTTTAGCTGGAAATGTGATATATAAAAGTGTTTTTCATTATAGAGAAATATTTGGGGAGAGCAAATAGATTCCAGAGATGCAAAGGAGATTGCAACCATAATATATGAAAAATTGGAAAATCTTCAAAATCATGGAAAGAGAAATAAGGTAAGGACTAAGGCTAAAGCTAACTTTGGTAAACATTATCTAAATCTATTAGTATACATATGTCAATAAATTCATAAAGCTTAGAAAATGGGTCATTGAAAGAACAAGCATGTAAAATAATGTAAAAATAAAATTTAATAAATACTATGGCCATAAATTACTTATAAAATAGAAATTTGGTTACACATTTTGGTTAGCAGCTTTTGGTGGTTGTCTTTTTTGTATAGTCAAAGGCCTCTCCTGAAATTTTTAACCTATTGAGAACCTGCTGTTTTGTAGAAGGGCAGTTTTTTCCTTTTTTATGTCATTGTAGGTCATATTTACAAATAGTTCTGGAATGCTTTCTGAATGGAGTTTAATACAATCATATATGAGGCTTCTTGGATTCTTCTCTAGAAGGTTAAAGAATGACAACCTGAGTTTTGGAGGGGGCTAGCGACTGCTGGCTGTATAGGACCATGTCACAACTGCAGACCCAGTACCGATAAACACTTTAAAGTAGTTTTCTTGGTTTCAGTGAACAAAATGTTTCTTTGATGTCTTGGCAATCAATGTTAGTTTTCTGTTTTAAATGTTTGAAATAGCAATTAATTATGACTTTGAAAGTACTTAAAGTATATTTCATAGTTTTTATGTTAATAAAAGGGGAAAATATTTCCATGTACCGATCCATTATATAACCTTGAAATTATTAAACTGTTTCCTCTTTGACTTTTACATTACTATAGGATGAACTTTAATGATGTTGAAGATAAAGAAAAAATTGAAATTCTTAAAAATGATTATCAGAAGACATCTTCAGAAAACAAATGTGAACATTACCTTGGACTTTTTATTGCACTGTCTGGAGGATCATAAATATTTTAGGTTGTGTAGACGATTTACAGTTCTTTATTGCATATTCTTCTTTGGTTTTATTTTCTTATGAAACCTATAAAAAATTCAAAAACCATTCTTAGCTCACGGCCATACACAAATCGGCCACAAGCTAAATTGATTCCATGGGCTATAGATGTCTGAGCCCTGGAAATGTTCTGGCCAGCATCTTGGACACAAGCCTGTTTTTGCTGTTTTCTACAGAAATATTACAAGTTGTACAATGTGAACCTTGTCACTTGAAGTTTTTGTGGTTCACCTGGAGATAAGTTTTCAATCAGCTGTTCCTTCTAAAAATGCTCTGAAAGTGATTCTCTACCCATATATTTCATTTAAAACAGTTCAGTGTGGCAAAATAGATGCCCTGTTTTTCAGATTGTAGTGAAGAGATTTTTCATTTCTTTCCTTCTTAAAGGTTGAATTGATTTTAATTTCTCAAACTGAAGAAAAACATTTGCAACAGCACATAAACAGATTTCATAGATTTCTGCAGCATCCAGAAATACCTGAGGGAAAGTGTTTATAACTGTTACTTGCTAGGCATTGTAGACTATCTCAAATACATCAAGTTATATATTTTTTAAATGTCTGTTTATTTTCTGAATTACTTTTATAAAAGTTTCTTCTCTGATAGTTGATTTTTGAAGTATCTTTATAAGTATTTATTTTTTGCCTTCTGGACTGTTTTGCTGTATATTCTTTACATTTGCTTTTTTTCCTTCACGGTAATAGATTTTCACTCTACCAATCTCTTCATTATTTAAGTAGGAAAAATAAGGTTGGAAGTCAGTTTCACTATAGCTTAAATGTAGTTATCTAATTATTAGTTTACTGTCAGAAGCTTATTTTGATAAACACTGGCATAATGAAGTTATTTTTATAAAAAAATTCAGTATATAAATCTAAGGTTGGTAACTGAGTCTCAGTTGTTACAAACTCAATCCAAACTTCCTTACATTTCTAACAAAATACAGAGATTCTAAGTGGTCAAACGAGACAAATTTTTGAATACTTAATTTTTTCTTTTTTAAAAAAACCTAGGATTATGTATAATAGTGACAATTTTTCTTAATGTACTTTACCTCTTCCCGCATTCCCTCAAAGGTTATTTCAAAGCTACAGTTTATGCAAAAATATTTTTTCCTACTGCATCACTCTTTAGCTCTTAATCTTGGATTTTACTTTATACATGTAAGCCCATATGGAACAATCTCAACTTCTAACTGTAATTGAATACCACGTTTTTGAATTATGATCAGTAAAAGTGCCTTTCATTTGTTAAATTTTCAGGGCCTTGAGAATTTTTTAAATTGGCTTGTTTTCTTCAAAAATCCCAAGATGAAATGACTTAAGTCTTGGTCAATAAACTGTACCAGTTTTGTGAGTCCTGTTTTGCTAGACACTGAGGAATGTACAAAAGGAATTCAAAACATGGCCCTAATTTCTAACTAAACCCAGAAACAAGTATATTGACACCCACCCTACCACATATAAATGCAATTCCAAACTTACTAGTTGAGAAATACCTTAGGCAGTAAAATACTTACCGTGAAACTTGACCTAAGTATATGCCTGTGGAATCAGCTCTAAAACCAAGGCTACTCAGGAGTCATGTTAAGTCTCTGTATCAGATAAGTGACACACGCTAGGAATATGTTTTCTGCAGTTATATCAGTATCCCTGGGTATTTCAAAAACAGTATTAAGTTTTAATGGCCACATTCACATTAGTCCACTACAACTCAAAGGAGTTCTAGGTAAAATACGCCATTTCTTTCAGCAACACTTTTTTTGTGTAGCTGGCCTTGGGCTGTATCAGTACTGTCTCTGGCAGAGCAGAGTACATTCTGTCATGCAGCTGAGATGAAAAACTAGGTACTTTAAGCATGTGACTACAATAAACCAGTTGGAGTTTGTGGTTTTGGCATCAGTGATGCTTGCGTATTCCTATTTCCCAAAGTTGATTTAACATCACATTTTTATTTATAGTACTAAGACAAAGGAAAAATAAAATATTAATGATTATATAATAACTCAGTTGTCAAAGTTCTTGAAATGTCTTCATTTTCTGATAGTATTCATGGCAGGAAGTTTCTCTGAATTATAGTTACCCAAAAGAATTACCATGTTCTTATGTATAGGACAAAAATACTTATGTATTATGTATAAGAAAATGTTTAATAAGGCAGTATTTTAAAACCATTTTAAAAGATTTTTTTATGTAATTAGTATTAGCCCTTGTGGTTACCAACTAATTCAGGTAAGTGTTTTGAACTAGACATATTCAGTCCACCGCCACTGTTAAACATTATAAAGGTTAAATTGACAAAATACATTTTGTATTCTCTATTGATAGCTACTGGATAAAGCTGAATCTGAAGATGAAAAGTAGTAACTTTCTGGTAATATACTACTTTATATATATAGCAAAATGTTCAAGTACCCCGATTCTTCTGGTAAAGAAACTCATTTTGATTAAGAGTAAAATTTAGATCAACTATCAGGCTAAGTATAAATATTGGCTGTCCTGAAAGTAATTATGGTCAAGAAGGCCTATGCTAAAGTAGCTATTGTTCAAAACATTTTATCTAAGGTAAAACTTTAAAAAAGAAGCAGGTTCCACTCCAAGATGGCAACTTAGGAGACCCCTACAGTTACCCCTTTCCACAGAGACACACCAAATCCATAGCTATACATGGAACAGTTAGCCCAGAAAATTCATAGAAGAAAACAGGCATGTCTTCCTAGGCATTGACCTTACCTAAGTTTGAGGACTCAACTTAAAACATGGGGGGGCGGGGGGCAGCACAGGGGGTGGTATCTACATCAAACTAAAAAGCTACTGTATAGTGAAAGAATCTACATCAAACTAAAAAGCTACCATACAGTGAAAGAAATCAAAACAGACATCCTACTGAACGGGAGAAAATATTCACACATTACAGGCTTAACAAAGTAACATACATACTAATTCATAAAACAATATTAAGAAGGAAAAAACCTGAATATAAAATGGGCAGAGAATCTATAACAGACTCTTCTCCAAAGTGGATGCATAAGTGCTCATCAGGCACGTGAAAAGATGTTCATCACAAGCAATAATGACATGTCTCACAGCTGTGAGAATAGCTGTCCTCCAAAAGAGATGAAACAAGCATTGGAGAGGATATGGAGAGAATTGAGCCATTCTTTACAATATAAATTGGTGTAGCTGTTACGGAACGTAGTATGGAAAATCATCATGAAGTAAAAAAAGTACAGAAATTCCATCAACCAGTTAACCATACTTCTGGGTATTAAAGATAGACAAAAACACTTAAATAAGCTACTTGCAAGGCCCTCCCTGGTGGTGCAGCAGGTTAAAGCACAACACTAAGAACCTAAAGCTACTTCAGCATGAGTTCAATCCCCGCCCCGCAGGTGATCCACATTGCCTGGGAGACCTCTCCTGACCCGCCCACTGCTCCCCTCAGCAGTGTAGTCAGTCAGCCTGCTCTGCTACCCACTCTGTCTCTGATGAATCCTCTCACTCCCCTGCACCTCTGGCCTGTACCCCAGTTCTATATGCATAAATAAATAAATCTTTTTTTAAAAAAAAAAGCACCCAGTGATGGTAAAGCATGGTGATTACAGTTAATATTGCATTACAGATTTTAAAATTACTAAGAGTAACATTCTTATCACAGTAAGAAAACATGGTGGAGCATGTGAACTAATTTCATAGTATCAAATAATTGTTAAATCACTATAATAGGAAGTTTTTCCTGCCTCCAGCCCCAGTAATTACAAATGTCTTCTCTGAGGATAGAATTCTTAGGTTCTGCTCTATTTCCAGAACCTAGTGCATACATGTAAAATGTATCTCTTAATTAACAAGTATTGTACAAGACTGATGTTCCTTGATATTAATTTGCAAGTAACGCAGTTATGCTAAGACTTGCTAACTAGTAGTTACTTACTTCATGCCTTAAAGGTTATAGTCTATGGTCTAAGTGTAGCAACATTTATAAAGCTTAGGGAATATTATATACTATGGAAATTTTTGCAATTTTTATAATTTTTACTGTATGCTTAATATAGTTTTAGCTAAAAAGTGCCTATTCCTTTAAAAGGAACTTTCTCAACTTCTATAACTATCAATTTCTATACCTAAGTTCCTATAGTAAATTCTCTTAAAAGATGTTAACCAGAAATAGCATCAGGTACCAGTAGATGGCAGTCAAAAATAATCAGATGTAGATGTTTCGTTCTCAGAAAATGCTGTATCTCCCCAGACTGAGAATTCACAAAAGTCTAATTTGCCTTTGTTTTTAATTAAAAACAATTCCTGGATAACGATTCATGTATATTGAACGATGAGAAGTTGCAAAGAAGCTATCTTGTATCTGAAAATTTATAACCTAGCATAGTAAATCAGAAAATACTTGAGTGTGTGAATGATATGAAAGGAGAAATCCATCAGGTCACATAGGCTCACACCGCTGAAGACACATATGAGCTCGTGACACTGCGCAACTGAGGCCACTGTGAAATGGAACCTAGACGTAGACGCATTAATTTTAAGGACCTCCAAAAACAAAATTTACTGAAAATACCTTAATTTGCTTTTATTCAACCATCTCCTCTGGGTCTTAAGGTGTTAGTACTGCTTTAATTTATGACGTAAAAAGCCCACTGCTTGAGTAAAAGAAGCACTCTGCTTGCTCTTAGCTGATTTCAATACTGGTTCAACTACTTACTAACTTTGGACAAATTACTCCATTGCCCTATAGTTTAATTCATTCGCTAAATGGTAAAAAGATCAACTACTTCATCAAATAGTCATGCAGGTAAAATGAGAATTTTTATAGGAATACATGGGAAAGCAACAAAAAATCAAGAACATCAGAAATTTCATAGGACAAATGACATGGTATCTTAATGAAAAATGACAAGGAGGAAAAACCAGGATAACCTATAGATTAAAAATCTTAGTTTCTTGAGTCTTATCAGCCAAAGGAAAGTTTGGAATTTGGATTTTCACTAACCAAACTATAAATATGCATATATGAAACACTTGGAGAGAGTTAGAACTCTAGATATTTTATGTTAATCAAGCATTCCTGGGAAAGAGGACTGTTCGAGGTATGCTGACCATGTTTACAAAATTATTTGCTTCAAAACAAACCTGTGAGAATGGGGGGTTGAGGGATGTTGGTGATAATAGTTGGAGGGTGATTAGAAATGGTTGTTAAGTGAAACAACTTGGCCATATTGTATTAAGTATTCGAACTGAATAATGACTAACTAGGGGTTGATTATGGAAATGTCAAATAGAAAAAATTTTTTTCTAAGTTTAACTTTCACAAAGCAAAGCAAAATACTGTCTTTGTAACTATGCTATTATTGAAATTATACACAGAATCCCAAGTGACAAATTTATAATCATCTGTTTGCCAGATAAATTAGTCTACTGAATAGGAGAGGTAGGAAAATTGCAGGATAAAAACTGGATCAGTTGGCACTAAGTAGAACTACTTTGGAAGAACATGTGCAACTCCCTTTCCTTTATGATTCCCTCCCAGCTTGGGACCTGAAAGCCACTTTACTGTTTCATGCCAAACCAGACTAACAAAAGTAAAGGCTGATCATCATGATCCAACTGAATCTGCAGGAGGAGGCAGAAATAGTCTTTGCAAAGTGGCTTCCAGGGTGCTGTAGGGTCCTTCTGTGACTGGCAGCCCCTAGCCTTGCCCTCCACGGAAACTAAATAGGCAGCTCTCTTATTGCACTCTGGGAGGGAGGGCTATTTCCTGAACTGAATCTTTCTTCTCTGGATATCTTTCTCCACTTTCCCTCATCTCTCCCTCCCCCCAGCCCTTTTTATCTCCCACTCCACTCTTTAATCTCCCCTCCTTCCTTTCCATCCCTCCACCCCTTTTAAGGCCCTGGAGCAGTTCAGTGTTACTCTCTTACTGCTTCTTTACAAAAAAGTTGTGTTTATTGAAAGCAGACTTTTCCCCTATATTAGCGCTGAGATTTGAATGCTGTGCAGCATATATTCCAGATGACTCTAAAGACTTTGGAAATGAAAATGCTCACTTAAGAAACATTTTGGAAGATCTTCAGCACTGCAGATACAACAGTGAATATTAAAATTCATGTATGAAATGAACTCACATGAGTTCAAGGCTGGAGTACACATATCCTAAGCCCTTCAAATCTTTCCAACTTGACCTCAGTTTCTGATGTGCTTCCATGTTCTTTGAGGTGTACAATCTTCCTTACTTCATCCTGTGTTATTGAGTAGAGCCTAAACAAGTTACCTCAATCCTTTATTCATTTAAAAAAAAAAAAAAAGTGGCTAGCAAACATTCACCTCAGCAGGAATCTTAGCCTTTTAGTGTTTTCTACAGCTCCAAATCCATATTGCACCACAGCCCACTGGTCTCAGGGTCCTCTTAAGTCTCACCAAACGTTGCTACTTTCTATTTGATGGTAGCCAACCC